AGAGAGTCTATTCTATTGGCTTTCAAAAGCCAATAGAATAAAAGGGAGTAGCACAGCTAAGGAAAAGGGGGAAAAAATGGCGGACTGCATTGTTTGGCGACCCCCGTGAAATGGTCGTTCGACCCCAAATGGGGTCCCGACCCACAGGTTGAGAATCACTGTTTTAAAGGCTAATGGAGTAGCTTTATCCTCCCTCGAGATCTACTAATGCTGATCCCAGTTGTGTTTCTGAAGGAGCTGCTGTATTCTGGCCTCCCTTGGCAACAAATGTTCGGAAAGGTTTTGTTTTCCGCATATTCACCATCGCTCTTGTTTGGAATTTATCCATGGGGTTAATTCTGATCTTGGCATCCCAAGAAACGAGCTTTGTGTGCTGATGGACCCTTCCCAGGGCGGTGTTTCTGCTGGGCTTCATCCTCTCCGCTTGAGAGTTTCCATATTCACCTGAAATTTCTGCACATGTTCCTTGGACAGCGCGATTAGTAGGTTCTCCGCATTCTCCGAATGTTCGTAGAGTGCTTGCTTTTTTTTTTTTTATGGTCCATCAAGGTGTCCCCTTCAGGTAGGACCCATACGTGGGGCTATTTGTCAAGCACCAGGGAAATCAGGAGATGCAGGCCAGTTCAAATTGTTACAAAGATTTATTGCAAGCTGAAGCGCTCTCCACAAGAACCCCAACTACTAACCGCCAAGGGAAATTAGCGGGAGATAAGGAATTCAAGGTGGGCTGGACTGAAGTCTCTTGTGGGCATGAAGGGACTCGTGATTGACGACACGTTTGACCCCTCCCTCGGGTTCAGCCTCGGACGTCTCCTACATCTTTATTCCTTAGCTCAGAGGTATCAAACTCAATTTCACTAAGGGTCGCATCAGCATTGCGGTTGCCCTGGGGGGGACACGGCGGGACAGAGTGGGTGCAGCCTACTGGGTGGGTGTGGATGGAGTGGGTGTGGCCTACTGGGTGGGCGTGGCCAGTTCTACATCATTTGCGTCAAGGGTGTCTATGGGGGCCTGGGCAGGAGTGGGACAGATCTGAGAGTCTCTGGCAGAAGGGGGTGGGACCAGGGCAACTGCCAAGGATATGGTCCACCGGGGCAAGTGCCAAGATGGCCACCACAAAATTGTACATTGGCTCCCAGCCGGCCTGGGCCAGGGCCGAGGCAGTGGGGGACGTTCCCTCACTGTTTCCAGGATGGCTTCGCGGGCCACATGAAACCACTTCGCGGGCCGCATCCAGCCCCTGGGCCTTGTGTTTGACATGTCTGCCTTAGCTGGTTTTGTGATGTGGATTTCTAGTTCCTAACTGGTGACCAGTTGCCTTGTCATTGGGAGATGGATGCAGGAGGAACTGTCCTCCCTGTATGGCTTCAAGGAAAGGCTCCATCGTTATCCGCTTAGGTCGGTGTTCCTCCACCTTGACAATTTTAAGGCATGTGGACTTCAACTCCCAGAATTCCACAGCCAGCAGTGCTGGCTGTGGAATTCTGGGAGTTGAAGTCCACATGCCTTAAAATTGTCAAGGTGGAGGAACACTGGCTTAGGTAGCCATCCTTGGAACTGAAGAGGACTGAAACGGCCAGGTTAAATCAGTGTGTCATTACACACCACAAGCGTGCGTCCTTGAGGCCACCATTACCAAATTTGTTTTCTCTTTTGTCTCCGAAGGCTAAAAGGCTTATTAGATCGTGAAAAAGAGGAACTTGCAGAAGCAGAAATCATTAAAGACTCTCCCGATTCCCCAGAGCCGCCCAACAAGAAGCCTCTTGTTGTAATGGAAGACTTGCCAGGGCTGGAAAAAAACAAAGGTACAAGTCCAAATAATTGCAAGTTATCAAAAAAAAAAAAAAAAAGGGAAGCGATAGCTTATGGAGGGCAATATTTTTATTTATAGCAAAATATACATAGTACACATGCTGGGTGAGCAGAATGTCGGTAAGAGCTGCAGCTAAACTTCCGTTAAGCAAAACACTGCAGATCCATTCTGCCAATCTAGATCCTGCCTGAACTTAGGGAATGGGCCTTATTCCAGAAAAGTAAGTAGAATTAAATGTTGTTTGGTATCAGTTTATTACTACACCATGGCATTACAGCAGTGGTTCTCAATCTTTTTAATGCCGCGACCCCCCAACCGGTCATAAGTCAAGGACTACTCAACCGGTCGTAAGTCGAGGAATACTCAACCGGTCGTAAGTCGAGGACTACTCAACTGGTGCAGCACCGTTTGCAGAAGGGGAATTTTGGCGGGCTCAGCAGGGCAGAGACAGCATGGACAATTCCTATTGGCTTTTGAAAGCCAATAGAATTAGACTCTGTTCAAGAGAGTCTATTCTATTGGCTTTCAAAAGCCAATAGAATAAAAGGCACAGCTAAGGAAAAGGGGGAAAAAAATGGCAGACTGCGTTGTTTGGCAACCCCCGTGAAATGGTCGTTCGACCCCAAATGGGGTCCCCACCCACAGGCTGAGAACCACTGCATTACAGGAAGTCCTCGACTTACCACCACAGTTGAGCCCAAAATTTATGTTGCTAAGTGAGACTTTCGCCAAGTGAATTTTGCCCCGTTTAATGACCTTTCTTGCCACAGTTGTTAAGTGAATCACTGCAATTCTTAATTCAGTAACCCGGTTGTTAAGTGAATCTGGGCTTTCCCCCGATGACTTTGCTCGTCAGAAGGTTGCAAAAGGGGATCACGTGACCCCAGGACACTGCGACCGTCATAAATACCAGTCAGTTGCCAAGCATCTGAATTTTGATCACGTGACCGTGGGGATGCTGCAACGGTCGTAAGTGCGAAAAACGGTCATAACTCACGTTATAAGTCAAGGACTACCTGTATATACTAACATCGGTTCTTCTGATTTATACCTTTTTGTCGTACAGAGGCAGTTTTGGTAGTAGATATTTTATTTGTTTATTAGAAAACCTTTCTTCCATATGGGGAAGAGGCCTGGTGTGGAATAACTAAGTCCACTCTGCCTTTCCCCCCCCCCCCATTATCACATTTTCTTAAACTCTGCAGTTGTCATTGTGTTACAGGTCAACAACCAGACTGCCCCTGTAGTTTTCACACACTGGTGACTGTCCAAAATTGTACTGATAAGGCTTTGCTTTGGATTTTCCCTGGCGTGAAAATAAAAAAAATAATGTGAATTCTAGATTATTGTTCTTAATAAATTGGAGGGGCGATTGTGGATTTGACTACAAAAAGTAAGGCGAATAAGCATACAAAGCCAGGAAAAGACATTTTTCTTTGGAGCGCAAGTATGAAAGTAAGATTTAAGAATGCAAATTAATGAGGGCTCTCACCTTTTCTTCATTCCATTTTTACTTTTTAGGGCCAATATCCCTTCTGTCTCTTTGGAGCAACAGGATTAATGCTGCAAATTCTAGAAAACATCAAGAATTTATTGGCCGCTTAAATTCTGTCAACAATAAGGCTGAACTGTATCAACATCTTAAAGAGGAGAATGGGTTTGTATCTCAACATAGGGTGCTACAGGATGCCTGGTTATTTTTGGTTAATAACTTATCTGAAAATTTTGCCCTTAAATACATTAAACTATAATCTTAATAAATAATATGAAGGTAATTGAGCTTACCTTCTCTTTGTTCAAAATGATGGCATTAAAATATTCTGATAGTGACATCACTTGCACACTTAAAATAAGCATTATGAATAAAGAGCAACATTCTTATTTAGCCTTTGAAAAATTTGAAAGATTTAATTCGTGTAAATATTGTCTTGCAACGGAAATTTTTACATGGACATTGGTTAATTGATAAAAAAAATCTAGTGTATTAGGATAAATTTTTCCTCAACTCCGCAGGAATTCCTAAAGCTGAATTCTGCATTCCTCAACTTAAATGGTAATTACAGCAAATATTGTAGTTTATTGTAGCCTCTTCGCACCATTTAATATAGTTTCTCTTGTATTTGCAAGTCTTGCTGAAGATCAGCTTATTTCATCTTGCTTCAGAATCACTGAATTTTAGAAATGATAAGTTTATTTCATTAATCGCCAGCACATTGCTAAAATAAGTGTTCAGTAAGTACCCATCAAAATTAACATTATGGGGAGCTAAGCTGGTTGTCTTGTATTATTCTGTGCCAGGGCCAGCCACCTATTATATACAGGTAGTCCTCAACTTACAACAATTCATTTAGTGACCGTTCAGAGTTGCAACGGAACAGAAAAAAATGACTTATGAGCGTTTTTCACACTTACGACCGTTGCAGCATCCCCAGGGTCACGTGGTCAAAAATTGGATGCTTGGCAACTGACTTGTACTTACGACGGTTGCAGTGTCCTGGGGTCACGTGATCCCCTTTTATTCCCCAATGGGGAAGCTGGATTCACTTAACAACCATGTTACTAACTTAACAACTGCACAGTGATTCACTTAACAACTCTGGCAAGCAAAGTCGTAAAATGGGACAAAATTCACTTGACAAATGTCTCGCTTAGCAACGTAAATTTTGGGCTCAATTGTGGTCGTAAGCCAGGGACTACCTTTACTTCAGTTCAACAGGAATCTCCAAGCTGGTTCATGTATTCTTCAGCTTTTATTCTACCATGCTTTCAACTCATAACTTTTAGGACTGGGTCTCTTTTAGTTTTAAAGGAGAAAATAGAAATAAGGACTGTCGGCCTCGTTTTATGAATTTTAGGTAGATGACAAAGGAATTCATTAACGTTGTACTGTTGATTTGTTTTAGAATGGAAACCACAGAAAATGGAAAACCCAGCCGGCAGTGAATTCTGGGATATAGAGCCATTTTTGTTCAAGCCTGATCTCTCATCTAACTGTACAGTTCTCTACTTTGATTGCTTTTTACATTTTTTGTAATAATTTTAGGGCCTTTGTATGAAAATGCAAAATAAATATACTATTTGTTCCAAATCGCATTTGACTCTTAAGAACAAACAGAATTTCAATTATTACTCAGGTCTTTATGACTGAATAAAAATGACTTGCCTGTTTTTTTAGTTTTTTTAGTTGTTTTTTTTTTTTAAGAAAAAGCACAATGCCTGCTACTTGAGATTTTTTTTGTTTTGTTTGCTTAAATAATATCGCTATACTTGAAAGTCCATGCTTTTTGTGAAACACTATTAATACCATCCATGCTGTCTGGGGCATTCTGGGAGTTGAAGTTCACACATCTTAAATGTTGCTAAGATTGATAAATGCTGCTTTAGACTGTAATTCCATAGAAACCCACTTAAAGAAACTCACACTATGTCTGAACTGGCTAGTTCTTGTGTTAATGTGTGTTCCAGCAAGCCCTGCATGGTCACACCTAAGATGGAGCTAATAGGAAATGGTTAATTTTAAGTCTTTGACTTCGAAGGAAGAACTATATATATATATATAGTTCTGTTTATCCAAATGTACAATTATTAATATGTGGGCAGGTTTCGCCAAAAAATCAGTCCATTTTTTTTAATGCCTAGAACAGGGATAGGCAACCTTGGCTTTTTTATGACTCATGGACTTCATCTCCCAGAATTCCTGAGCCAACATGGCTGGCCCAGGAATTCTGGGAGTTGAAGTACACGAGTCAAAAGAGCCAAGGTTGCCTACCCCTGGCCTAGAAGGTGTAAAAAGAAGAAATGAATTTTGGATTTCAGATAGACTTTTACACAGACTCCCTTTGGAGAACGAGATAGAGCAGCATATAAATTTAATAAATAAATAAAAACAGACTCGCACTGGAACAAGCGAGTCGGGTCATACCAGATCCCTATCAGTTCTTCCGTACAATGGCGGAAGTCTGTATTTTGGAGGTGATGGCAGCCTTGAGATAACCAGACCTTGATTTGGTCTGAAGGGAGGCTGTTGAGAAATCATTGATACAGCTAACGGTAACCGAGCTGATGGCGGAGCTTCTCGTTCCACTAGAGATTTACGAGAACTCCGCAGGTCCATCTTGAAATCGTTATAGCCACAGGAAGGCGGACCCTGTGGTTGAAATGTTTTCTTGTGATATTTCTGATAATGAACAACTATCAGGATCGCTAGTGTTGTGGAGCATATAGCAATCAACAAGGCAGAGAACGTGTTCGTTATCAAACAGTTGCCGCCTTTGAATGCAGTCGCCGTCCTGTTGAACGCTGCAGAATCATGTGTTGGCTTTGTAGTAGGTAAGCAAATCCCAGCATAGGTCACCTTTCCGATTCGTTCGATTTTGAATTCTGGCAACATGGCCTCGGCAAAATCTGGACCGACGTGTTCCCCAGGTCTTCCTAGTTTCGTTAGCACATCCTGGATTTCGTCTCTTGCGCACTTGTCCGTCTTTGCGCAAAGCAACTTATTGTACCACGTAAACACGGCGGACCCTGTTTTGAGATGAAGTAGAACCATATCCCCAGGACTCTCTGCAAACAAATATTTGGAAAGTTTCTTTAAAAAGAAGTTCATTCTTCTTCTGTTTTTCAGGAATGAGTGGTAGCTGTTTGTTGTTACTACCGTATAACTATGGCAAGGGACAGCAGTTGGTCTGAATAGTTCTATGATGAATTTATCTTTGGCCTTCAGTCCTCCCGAATCTATGGCGAAGAGCGAAAACTGCTGAGGGGAATACTGAAAATCAGCATCCAGCGGATAACCATGCATATTTTGATCCCTGGCATTAAATTGTAGCCAGCTTTCCAGATCTGTCGGTGGGCCGTCGATGGGGTTCATTCCGAGGGTCAGTTGAGTTGAATTCCCGTCTTCATGATCCTGAAATGTCTCTGGTGGTATGGAAAACGAGAACCTATGTCCGACGGTTGCTGCGATCCACTTAATGGCATTAATGACCCTGGGAGGTGTGTTTGGCTGACCTGAGTAAAAATGAAATTGTAAATGTAAAGGAGTTTGAATAACCTGGCCCTGAAAGACAAAAGAAACAACTATGGTTGTGCAACACGCTTCCCAGTTTGCACTACGCAACTTACAATCATTCGTTTAGTGCAGGGGGTAGGCAACCTTGGCTCTTTTATGACTCGTGGGCTTCAACTCCCAGAATTCCTGAGCCAGCATGGCTCAGCTTGGAAACCTCTCCCTTTCCTCTCAGCATGGCTGGCTCAGGAATTCTGGGAGTTGAAGTCCACAAGTCATAGAAGAACCAAGGTTGCCTACCTCTGGCCTAGGCCTAGGCCGCTTTATGACTCGTGGACTTCAACTCCCAGAATTCCTGAGCCAGCATGGCTCAGCTTGGAAACCTCTCCCTTTCCTTTCAGCGTGGCTGGCTCAGGAATTCTGGGAATTGAAGTCCACAAGTCATAAAAGCCAAGGTTGCCTACCCCTGGTTTAGTGACTGTTCAAAGTTACAATGACTCTGACCTATAACCATTTCTCACCCTTACGACCGATGCAGCATCCCTGTGGTCACGTGATCATAATTCGGATGCTTGGCAACTGGTTCATATTTATGACCTTTGCCGGGTCTCGGGTTCATCCCATTTTGCGACCTTCTGACAGGCAAAGTTGATGGGAAAGCCAGATTCATTTAACAACCCGTGGTACTGACTTAATAACTGCAGTGATTCACTTAACAACTGTGGCAAGAAAGGTCGTAAAATGGGGTGAAACTCCATTATCAACGGTCTTGCTTAACACCATAAATTTTGGGTTCAATCGTCATAAATCGGGGACTACCTGTACTAATTAACACGTGTGATTTACCTTCTATTTTGTGGTTCATAGTGGTATGAAGTCCAGTCTCTGTGGATATTCCTTTGTTGTTGAACACAATGGCTGATTCTTTCAATTTTGAGACAATATCCCCTGTAATTTGGACGTTAATTTTGGTTCCAAACAAGCTTTTTAAACTTAAATCATTTATATCCAGTTGTAAGGCCTCAGGATCTAACACGGATGTTAGATCTAAGTTGTTCACAGAGTCACATTGATCTGTAGAAAAATAAAAGCTGGAGGTATTAACAAGTTCTAGAGGGTGAGTAGTCAAGGAAGATCTGTAAGAAAGCAACTCCAGTGCCTGACTTTTTCTGTGAGACATTTCTGTTTGACTAAGGAAGATAACAGCACTGGGTGTTGTAATATAAAATAAAGTTGTTCCTTTTTTCCACAGGGAAGTGTCCATTTCAGTTTCCATAAATTCTAAGACACTGTTTCCTGTAGTAATAAATCTGTAGGTTAATGAAATAGTTGTAAAAGATTCATGGGTTTTCGTTCTGTCTGAGGTAACTTGTCTTCTGTCAGGCAATTTTTCCGTTGGTAATATATTACCAAGTCCAAATAATAATGCCAATTCCACTGGAACGGATAAGGAGAAAGAAGGAAAAACTATGGGGTTGCTAATAGTGTTAGACAGGATGCTAAATGTTAGTAGAGTTTGACTGGATAACAAAGTGCTGTTATTTAAGGTATCTGTCGAATGTTTTGATGAAGTTGGAGCATTGTGGCAATACGATTGAGTTGGTGGACATGCATTGGACGGAGAACCAGGTTCGGGGTAAAAATCACCATTTGTAATGATAGCATCAAATATTGATGGGATGTTGGTCAAGATAAAGCTTTTGATCCATTTGAAAACTTCCATCTGCTTTACCGGTGCTAATGTCATAAACGTCTCTGAGGCGGAAGTGTAGACATTAAGCAGTTTTTGATTCTGATAGCTGTCATGTAACAAGAACAAAGATACTGCAACACTAGATGATGATGATGATGATGATGACGACGACCTTAAATATGCTAATGTCGACATGGAAGGCAGAGAAAGTTTTATTATAGAAATGATCTCTCCAGATTTAAATCCAGATGCTGTTCGATGCGTGAATGGGCTGTGATCATTTAGACTTCTTATTTCTCCTTTTGAAGACAGATCTTCTGGTGAAATGTCCATTAGGTGGTGAACAGGGTGTGAGAAATGATTTTTGGTCACGGGCATAAACAAGCCCAAATAATAATTATCCTTTGGCTCAGATTGTTGAGTTGTGGGGAAAAGCTCTTGTGTTGAAGCATCATACAGTACATGCCCTGATATTGGTGGGGTTTCAAAAATCACTTTATCCTCAAATTCTGCAGAGCTTAGCATCAACGAAGGTGAAAGTTCAAAAGAGAGAGAGTGAAAAATGGTAGACGCTGCTGATTTAGTCTGAATGGCCTCCACATCTGTATCGATGATTACAGGCTGAGTACTGATCTCCACGTAAGGATGGATAACTGAGATAGTGGCCTTGTTGCCCAGCGATGAACTTGCTTCAGATTTTACAACGGAATGTGTCTCTGGCGTAGCAGCTATTAAAACTGTGAAGTTCTGAGCTTTGGTGGGTCTCCATGTAGGCTTTGGGGTGGCCATTTTCCCGTTCTGCCATTTGTTGGGATTTCTTTTTTCGTAATCTTGTTGAAGGACTCTCCAGCCAGCAATTTCGTAGCCCAGGAGCTGCGAGAGATTGTTTGATTCAGCGTTATGGCTCAGAACTCGTACCAGTTCAGACAGCATAGCAAACACCCCAAACCCTACTGGCCAACAGAGTCCTACATAACGGCTTTTCGTGGAGTTGATGTATCTGATATCTTCAGCCAGTGTGGTTAGATTCTGAAAATATTTATTTAGTGAGTCTTCGACTGGAATAAGTGCGAGCGAGGAAGGGTCCAGATGAAGATATTCTGCCACGGTGCAAATCAGAGTCAGTTGTTCTTTAATTTCCAGAGTATGGTTTGTTTGAAGTATGATCTCAGCGAAGGTGATGGAAATACGTCTGGCATACCATCCTCCAGAACAAATACTGAAAGCCCCAAAGCAAATACTGTTAAAAGACTGACATCTTTTAAAATATGGTATTATAATTTAACATTTTCCAGACCGACTCAACAGTATATATTGATCAGTAGTGGGATTCAAATATGTGAACAACCGGTTCTCTGTGTGGATGCTGCTTTCAGAAGTCCATTCTGGGCCTGGGCAATAAAAAATTAGCTACCGGTTCTGCCGAAGTAGTGCATACTGGCTGAATCCCACCACTGATATTGATATAATTGAGTATATAGATTGTCTTCTAAAGTTTTAAATCAATGTTATAAGTATTTGAAAATACACCCATATAAAGATGGTCGAAACCTATTGTTCCTACATGTCAATGCAACTTACATGTTCTTTGCATGGACGCAAAGGCGATCTTGACCGAGGCGTGTAAAATCAGCCTTGGTGGTTGGGATTCTACATGTCTCACCATACGCCACAACGCTCAGATGAAAGTCTCCACTCTTCTCCATCAATGGCATCCCTTGGTGTGTCTTTGTGGAAATACTACCTTCTAGCCATTTTGACAAAGTTGAATCATTACCCAGAGTAATCTAAACAACAATAATCATATGCAACGTATAAGGTACAATGAAGCTATCGTTAAAAACATGCCATCGGAAATGTTATATCTGATATTCTTTAATTTATCTAATGGTTTATTTCTTACAAGCTGATGATAGGTATGGTTAAAAGGAGAAAAAATATACTGATATACTGATTGGGTCCCTGGCATACAAAGATGAATTGATGTATTTACAACGCTTTGCAACATCCCACGGTCACGTGATTAGCATTTGTGACATTCCCAACCAGCTTCTTACAAGCAAAACAAATGGAAACAAGCTGGATTCAATTAACAACCACGTGATTCATTTAACAACTGCAGTGATTCGCTTAACGACCGTTGCAAAAAAGAAAAGCTCACTAAATTGAGCATGACTCAATTGCTTAGCCATGGAACTTCTGCTTCCTTGGAAATCTCTTCCGGACTTAGCTTGAAGTGGGAAAAAAATGAAATTTGAGTTTGGGTTTCGCTGTTCAGATAGGCGTGCTATTATAGAAATGGCTGGTATACAGGTAGTCCTCGATTTACGACCACAATTGAGCCCCGACATTTCTGTTGTTAAGTGAGGCGTTTGTTAAGGGAGTTTTGCTCCATTTTATGAGCTTTCTTGCCACCGTTGTTAAGTGAATCACTGCAGTTGATAATTGGGTAACCCGGTCGTTAAGCAAATCTGGCTTCCCCATTTGACTTCGCCTGTCAGAAGCTTGCAAAAGGGGAATCACCTGACCCTGGGACACTGCAACTGTCATAAATATGAACCAGTTGCCAAGCGTCTGATTTTTGATCACGTGACCGCAGGGGATGCTGGAAAGGTGGTAAACTGTGAAAAATGGTCACAAGCCACTTTTTTCAGAGCCGTAACTTTGAATGGTCATTAAACGGGCTGTTGTGAGAGAAGGCCTAACCTGTATATTATTATGCAAAAGTAAAAAAGTTGCAATGTATGGCTGTGAAAGTTGGACCATAAGAAAGGCTGAGCGCCAAAGAATGGAGGCCTCTGAACTATGGTGCTGGAGAAGACTCCTGCGAGTCCCTTGGACTGCAAGGCGATCAAACCGGTCAGTCCTAGAGGAGATCAACCCCGACTGCTCTTTAGAAGGCCAGATCCTGAAGTTGAAACTCAAGAATTTTGGCCACCTAATGAGAAGGAAGGACTCACTGGAGAAGAGCCTAATGCTGGGAAAGATGGAGGGCAATAGAAGAAGGGGACGACAGAGAATGAGGGGGCTGAATGGAGTCACTGAAGCAGGAGGCGTGAGCTTCAATGGACTCCAGAAGATGGTAGAGGACAGGAAGGCCCGGAGGAACGTTTTCCGTGGGGTCATGATGGGTCAGACACGACTTCGCAACTATCAACAACAAAAAAAGTTGAGGCTGTATGTTATTACCCTACATTACTCTGCTAAAGAGAATTGGAAGTCACTGCTTCCCTTTTTCTTTTCCTTTTTACCCTAGACTTTTCCCGCCTTCCCCTTTTTCCTCCCCTATTTTCCCATTATTTGATATGTATTTGATAAACTAGTACAGATTTGAACAGGAAATTCTGGCTCCGGTTTTGGGTGTAAGTCGAGGACTACCTATGGTTCAAGCTCACTCGGCAAACTTCAAAGCTAGCAAATGTGACGGGTCAAGTCCAAGTTCTAACTCAACAGCATATCACCCCTACCAGTATATATTTTCACTCCTGGAAAGACCAGTTGCTCTTAACTATTGTATTGAACTGAAGGAGTGGCAAATACTTCAGATGTTTTAAAGCAGTAGATCTGCTCTACGCCTCACTAAACACAGTCAGGCTTATTTCAAGGTCGATAAGACATTAGATTTGCTGTTGAACGGTAGAATGCATATAAAAATAATGGTGTTTATATGCCAGTAAAAAATGTTGATAGCATCAGCAGAGAAATCATTCTGAGTTCCTAAGTGATCCTATCAGTGAGATGTTGTAATAGACTGACAGATAGCCAGCAGGTTTACTAAAAATAGAATAGAATAGAATAGAATAGAATAGAATAGAAAATGTTGAATAGAATAGAATAGAATAGAATAGAATAGAATAGAAAATGTTGAATAGAATAGAATAGAATAGAATAGAATAGAATAGAATAGAATAGAATAGAATAGAATAGAGGGAGAGAAGAGAGAAGAGAGAAGAGAAGAGGAGAGGAGAGAAGAAAAGAGGAGAAGAGAAGAGAAGAGAAGACTTTATTTGGCTAAGTGTCATTAAACAAGGAATTGGTCTCTGGTGCAGAAGCTTTCAGTGTACACACAAACAACAAAGCAATATAATCCTAAAATACCAATAAGAGAAGGCAGTAGAAAAGATGAGAAGGATAATCATATAGCCATACTACATGGGTAAATACACTTAGACATAAGACAGTGCTGTGAGAATTAGGTGTCCGCAGAGTGACGGCATGAAGGAAAAACTCTGTGTCTAGTTGTTTTGTTGTGCAGTTTGTTGTCCTGTAGCGGTGTCCCGAAGGGAGGGGTTGAAACAGTTTATGCCCAGGATGTGAGGGGTCTGTAGATATTTTCTCAGCCCTCTTTCTGACCTGATAAAAATTCAGATTTATCTTTGCATGGACTAAAACCCTGGGAGAAATGCTTTCCCATCACCATCACGACAGCTCTTCTGTTTTCTAGCAGCTTAATCACAAAGTTAAGCAAATCCATTTTCACTAATCAAGCACGGCTAATCGATTCGATTCTCACCGGTCTTCAAGGAGCGTTACCTCATAGTACATGATTTTTCCTTGGCAGGCAAACAGGGATAGGGGATCAGGCAGTGCTTTTCCAGTGACGGCCCTTCTTCCTGGAACTCCTTGAAGGACCTGTACGTCTTCACACGCGCGATGTGGTTCCTTGGTAACAAGAGAGATCCCAGTGAAGGTGAGGAACGTCAAGAGAAGGGGCAAGGAGAAGGCTGTCAGAACTTGTTTCCCCGACAGCAAAGGAAAAGCCAGGTAGATGTTGAAGACCATCATGGGGTGGTTGAGGCATCCATCCAGCGGTGAAGAAGGGAAGCTTTCTTAACACAGCAGATCTGATCTGTAGAAAGATACGGCAGGTTCAAGAATTATGCAAAAAAAGATCCACAAAGACCTCCACAGTCGGTCACTGAAGCTTTGATCCATGCAGTGACTGATTTGCAAAGTTGTAGGCATCTTAAAAACAAAGCAGACACTCACATTTCACTTCAGATAAGGTGATACCTAAAAGTCTCTCTCTCTGTGTGTCTTCCTCCATCTCGCTCTCTCTGATAAGGCCCATCAGGTGAAATCCTACACTAGGGAGAAGGGGAGGGATTTAACTGCCAGTTTGGAGTTAGCCATGTGTATGATTCAGTGACCTCAATTTAAGAGAATAACAGAGTTGGAAGGGTCCTTGAAGGTCTTCTAGTCCAACCCACTGCTCAAGCAGGAGACCCTATCCCATTCCAGACAAATGGTTGTCCAAGTTCTTCTTAAAAAACTCCCAGTGAGGGAGCACCCATAACTTTTGGAGGCAATTCATTCCATCGATTGATTGTTCCCACTGTTAGGAAATTTCTCCTTAGTTCTAGGTTGCTTCTCTCCTTGATTAGTTTCCACCCATTGCTTCTTGTCCTGCCTTCAGGTGCTTTGGAGAATAGCTTGACTCCCTCTTCTTTATGGCAGCCCCTGAGATATTGGAAGACTGCTATCATGTCCCCCCTTGTCCTTCTCTTCGTTAAACTAGACATACCCAATTCCAGCCACTGTTCTTCATACGTTTTAGCCTTCAGCCCCCTAATCATCTATGAATAGCATGAAAAAAGCATCATTATAAACATCCTGTAGATTATTTTTCCCTAGGGCTCCAATGTTATTCCTATCAGGGGTATCCACAGGGCAGGGGTTTAAATAAAGGCAAGATGGCAGCACAAATGCATGAGCAAAGCCTTACCCCTTTATTTATTTATGTCTGTATTCGTTTATTGCTTCCCAGATGGAGTAAAAACCACATTTATGGGTGGATCAGATAATGAATTATGAAAGGAAACCCAATGAATTGAAACCTTAATCTAGACAGTGAGAACAATTAATCTGTGGAACTACTTGCCTCCAGAAGTTGTGGGTGCTCCATCACTTCTAAGAAGAGATTGGACAATCATTTGTCTGAAACGGTACCGGCAATGAATGTTTTAAGTTAGAACAGCAATGAAAAAAGTAACATCTGGCCGTTTTTCACGCTTACGTAGCAGCATCCCCGCGGTCACGTGATCAAAATTCAGACGCTTGGCAAACTGACTCATATTTATGACGGTTGCAATGTCCCGGGGGTCACGTGATCAAAATTCAGATGCTTGGCAACTGACATGTACTTATGACGGATGCAGTGTCCCGGGGTCATGTGATCCCCTTTTGCAACCTTTTGACAAGCAAAGTCAATGGGGAATCCGGATTCACTGAACAACTGTGCCAAGGAAGGACGTAAATTGGGACAAAATCCATTGAACAAACGTCTCACTTAGCAATAGAAATGTCGATCGTGGTCGTAAGTTGAAGACTGCCTGTCTAGGGTTTCCTGCCTGAGCACGGGGCTGGACTAGAAGACCTGCAAGGTCCCTCCCAGCTCTATTATTCTGTTATTCAGATCTACTGGATCTAAGTACGTTAGATGCTTCCAGTAAAAGAAAAGAGCAGAGCTGAGCTTGCTTTTTCTTCACTCGTTGCTGAATTGGCAAAACACCAATAAAGACTGTGAAGCTTGTTGGGGTGACTCACCTGTGCCTTTGGCTTTTAGGGCACCCCAAGACGTGTCTTTGTGTTCTCGTTGCTGGGTTACTCTTAAGATACACCAGCTTGCTGCTTCTCTGGTTTACGAGGCTGTACGAAGCCGACCTGTTCCCGGGAGGAAACAGGATACTTGTTATGAGATGAGATTACAACAGGTTCGGGGCTGTGTGACAGGATGGGCTCTCGTTGTCGTTGTTGAATGATAATTTTGGGGTGGGGCCGTTTTGCTCCTCAGCTTACTGGGAAGCAGTTGAAAGACGTGTTGATGGAATCCAGACATCCGCGGAGATCGTTTCTGTCTTCGCAAGAGTCCATTGTAGGCAGGACGGCACCACGGTGAAGAAGGCAAGGGAGTAAATTTCTTTAAGGAATGTAACCGTAAGGCTTTTCCTGGAGGCTTTTAAGAAGGGACTGGACAGCCACCAGTCTGAAATGGTAGAGGCTCTCCTGCTTGAGCAGGGGGTTGGACTAGAAGACCTCTAAGGTCCTTCCCAGCTCTATTTTGACTGAACCCATTTTCCAAAAGGTAGGGACAATCAGAATACGCGGAAGAGCTTCATGGTTTCCACTTAGCAAGTCATTCTCAGCTGTAGGGTTTCCATCAAATGACTGCATCAGAAGACAACTACTATGGTGGAAGTAATCTGGCTTTGGTCTTCTAAAGATAGAGAGTCTCAGTTATGAGCACAGAGAAATTCAAAAATGAAATTCAAAGGTGAAAAAAGTAGGGTTCTACATTTAGGCAAGAACAACCAAATGTACAGGTATAGTATAGGGGGTACCTTGCTCAATAGTAGTAACTGTGAGAGTGACCTCGGAGTCCTAGTGGACAATCCCTTAAACATGAGCTAGCCGTGTGCTGCAGCTGCCAAATAAAGGCAACACAGTGCTAGGCTGCATTAACAGAGGGATAGAATCAAGATCACGTGAAGTGTTAATATCACTTTACAAGGCCTTGGTAAGGCCACACTTGGAATACTGCATCCAGTTTTGGTCACCATGATGTAAAAAAGATATTAAGACTCTAGAAAGAGTACAGAGAAGAGCAACAAAGACAATCAGGGGACTGGAGGCTAAAACATATAAGGAACGGTTGCTGGAAATGGGTATGTCTAGTTTAATGAAGAGAAGGATGAGGGGGGACAGGATAGCAGTGTTCCAGTATCTCAGAGGTTGCCACAAAGAAGAGGGAATCAAGCTAGCCTCCAAAGCATCTGAAGGCAGGACAAGAAGCAACCGATGGAAACTAACCAAGGAGAGAAGCAACCTAGAACTAAGGAGGAATTTCCTGATAGTTAGAACAATTAACCAGTGGAACAACCTGCCTCCAGAAGCGGTGAATGCTCCAACACTAGAAGTTTTTAAGAAGAGACTGGACAGCCATTTGTCTGAAATGGTATAGGGTTTCCTGCCTGAGCAGGGGGTTGGACTAGATGACCTCCAAGGTCCCTTCCAACTTTATTATTATTGTTGTTATCATCATCCTTATCCTCATCCTCATTATTATTAAGATACTCTCCTGATGGAGCTACCCACTAGAAACTCTTTATTTTTCTTCAAAAGTGTACAGAAGAAAGCATGGTTTCCATTGTTCCTGTTTACAAAGCTTTTATATAACCAGTCCTTTGAATCTCATCTGAAATACATCATAAACCACAAAGGAATAACGTACTCGCTAAAGTTATGTTCCAAGTCACCTCCTCACTCAACACTGGAGTCTGCCTCTAACAATGACATCATGTTTACTGGCAAGACCTAGCCAGACTAATTCTTGCTTCCTCAAACCACAGATTAAACTTCTGGCTATGCACATACCATGGCTAACACTAAATAACTGAATTAGTTAAGCTGACTTAACCCCTACAGATGCTTTGGTAGGCAGGACAAGAAACAATGGATGGCAACTAATCGAGGAGATAAGCAACCTGGAACCAAGGAGAAACTTAATTGAGTATGTCAATAAAAACTCAATCATACAGGCCAAAAGTATCTTTAAAAGGTTAAAATCATGGCGATTGAGTTTTCATGGACATATTTCAATACATTTTGTGGAGAAACCCCTTGAGTTGGTACCAGCAAGAGTTGGTGCATTTCAACGGCTCTCTGACTCTCCGCCTAACTTACATTTTTTTTTTTGAATGAAAAAGCTATTTGGATGAGTAAGAAAAACATCTCAAACTTCAGTCTGATGGTCATGATTTTTCTTTTCTTTTTATAATGTTTTATTGATTGTCTAATTTTACATTTAAATATTTAAAAAGCGACATGGCGGCTGAGTTAATTGATAATTCAATGACATACAAGTATCTTTAGTACAAGTCTCAAACTACCACATTAAATATTTCCTCTTTTCCACTTAGTGTTTACTGTCTCATGTTTAAACTAATACAATTCTTATTATATCAATTAAATAAAAAATAACATTCTTACATTTATCAATAATTTTTAGCTTATATATAACCTGGTTATTTTAACATTCAGTCTTTGTAGATAACCAATGTCCTCATTAGTTTTTCCCAATTTTTAGTTTCCCATTAACATTTAAATTTAACATTTAATACTTATAATTTCCAAGTTCTAAGTAACCAAGGTTCTCTTTATCACAATCCATCACAAAGTCTAATATTCAGGATACACGTCTTATCTATTTGAATATATTCTATTTCTCACCATCTTACACCATCTAATTAATAATACAGTATAACATTCTTATTTTCTATTAATTTCCAAATGTCTTAAATTTAGTAACCCAAATTTCTCGTTTCAACATCAAATACTTCCTCTCTTAATGTCTACCATCTCATATTTAAGCTTCGGCAGCACATATACTAAAATTGGAACAATACAGAGAAGATTAGCATGGTGGTCATGATTTTCACCTTTTTAGATTGCTTTATTGCAGTGGTTCTCAGCCTGTGGGTCAGGACTCCATTTGGGGTCAAACGACCATTTCACAGGGGTCGCCAAACAACACAGTCCGCCATTTTTTCCCCTTTTCCTTAGCTGTGCTACTCCCTTTTATTCTATTGGCTTTTGAAAGCCAATAGAATAGACTCTCTTGAATAGAGTCTAATTCGATTGGCTTTCAAAAGCCAATAGGAATTGTCCAGGCTGTCTCTGCCCTGCTGAGCCCGCCAAAAGTCCCATTCTGCAAACGGTGCTGCACCAGTTGAGTAGTCCTCGACTTACGACCGGTTGAGTAGTCCTTGACTTACGACCGGTTGGGGGTCGCGGCATTAAAAAGGTTGAGAACCACTGCTTTATTGAGTGAACTTTGGTTCCTTCGGAAAAGTGACGAGAGTTGGACCTGACTAGTAGTAGCTGGACTGAAGATCACCAGAACACCAGGGCAGAGGGTTAGATTGCGATGTAAAGAAGAAACAAATCTGGAAAAAGCCATGGACATCCACTTCTCTATTGTTACCAAGACAACCACGTGGATGTTGTAAAGTGTTGGGTTATTATTGCCTTTGACTGATGAAGCATGTCTGCTAACTTGTATTATTTCTCAATAACCTGGGCTTGTCTGCACATGTGGTAATTCTCACAGACTCCCTGGAGTCATTACTCTTCAAATTACTTCATGGGTAGAAAAAAAAAATCCACTGGATCTCTAGAATCACTAGGAATTGAGGTTGATTTGAAAGCCGGTTTAGGGTGTTGAGAGCTGACATATGCAGGTAATCCTCAATTTACGACTGCAATGAACCCAAAAATTTCTGTTGCAAGGTGAGACATTTGCTAAGCGAATTTTGCCCCATTTTATAACCTTTCTTGCCATAGTTGTTAAGTTAGTAACATGGCTGTTAAGTGAATCTGGCTTCCCCATTGACTTTGATTGTCAGAAGGCTGCAAAAGGGGATCACGTGATCCCAGGACACTGCGACCATCATAAATATGAGTCAGTTACCAAGCGTCTGAATTTTGATCACGTGATCCTGGTGTTGAAGGAAAAGTCTTCATCATGGTTCAGTCCAAGCCGGGAATAAACAACATGGCGACTGCTTTAGAAAGAAGGTTGCAGTTTATTGAAGAGGAGAGCCAAACAGGAAGATGGCTCTGGAAGAAAAGAGTGAGCACATGTAGGGAGTGGGTTTTTATACTCTGTGGAGCCTTTTGTTTGGAGTTGTTCCTGTGGCATGAACTTTGACCTGAGTCTAAGTGTGCCTTTCTGGTATTCTGATGGTGGTGGGTTAATCCTATTATGTCCCAACGGTCATATCCTGCTTTCCTGGGGCTGTGGCTGATGACTCTTAGATTTTTGGAGTGATTCTAGGGATCTTTCTTCCTAATCCCAGGTTCCTGATTCCAGTCTTTCTGACAAGATTATCACATCTGCATTTCTGCAGACTTGGTTTCTGTTTGGGACAGAGAGACTTGGGGGGGGGGTTGGTTTCTGCTTTTAAAATCCTTTATGGAAATATATTCTGCCTTTTAAATATTTTCAAAAATATTTCTTTCTGAGGGGGGGTTGACTTCCCATACTGGGGATGCTGCAACGGCCCACAACGGCCATAAGCCGCTTTTTTTTCAGAGCCATTGTAACTTTGAACTGTCACTAAGCAAACTATTGTAGTTGAGAACTATCTGTAGGATCCAGTCGGTCCCATTGGCTAAAATATTGGATTGTTTCATTATCACGCAGGGCTTTCACATCCCAGAAAAAATGTCTCTTATTTGGTCCAGAGGCCGTTGACTGACAGCTGTGAAAAGGAACAGAATTTCCTCTGTTTGTCATAACTGGACTCTAGAGATTATGCTTGCCCAAAACTCCAGCAGACAGGAAGTGATTTTGCAACAGCCTTTCTGTGCAATTGATAAGAGTTCCTGTTGATTCGTTTTTATAGCTTCCCAAAGGCATTTTCCAGCGTTATAAAATAATGCCGTGGATATTTTTATATCGGAGAAGTCAAGGACGCACCTCCTTCCCCTTCTCGCTCGGAGGCTTTAAAATTTAGCAACCTTCCTTCCACCAACTTCCATAGTATTGTTGTATCCTCTGAGCATTGTTTTTTTTTTTCCCCCTCCAAAGTGTTCTGCAAGAATTCTGTTTCTTCTTGATAGGAGTGCTCCAATTTCTTTTCTTTTTTTTCAGAGCACATTCATATCTTTCAGCAAGAGAAAAAAAAAAATGAATAAGAGGATATGCTAAGAAAAGAACCAAGATTGCATCTGGAATGCAGAATTACCTCTCTTGAAATCCAGCCCAGGTGCAGAGAAGTGTTTTTTGGCTGGCGCTAACCAGTTCCATCCAGTTTTTGTGTTGCTGTGTTGCCTCAGAGGCAAACAAAAATGAGCTTGGAGACGAAACGAGGGCTTAACAAGTCCTTGCAGATGGTGTTTTGCTTGGGAAGGTTTACCAAACAATTCAGTGAAAAGTTCCGTGACACCTGCGGGATAAAACTCTTTTATTCCAGGATGTTTCCCAACCAAGACTTTTGTGAGGCCACATAGGCAGGGTGTGTGGCTTTATGATGTGTCCAGGTTGAATAATGCTACTTGTTCCCAGGAGAGAAGCAACCTAGAATTAAGGAGAAATTTCCTGGCGGTTAGAACAGTTAACCAGTGGAACGGCTGGCCTCCAGAAGTTGTGAGTGCTCCAACACTGGACGTTTTTAAGAAAAGATTGGATAACAATTTGTCTGCAATGGTGTAGGGCAGGGTAGGCAACCTTGGCTCTTTTATGACTCGTGGACTTCAACTCCCAGAATTCTTGAGCCAGCCACGCTGAGGGGAAAAGGAGAGGTTTCCAAGCTGAGCCATGCTGGCTCAGGAATTCTGGGAGTTGAAATCCACAAGTCATAAAGCGGCCTAGGCCAGAGGTAGGCAACCTTGGCTCTTTTATGACTCGTGGACTTCAACTCCCAGATTTCCTGAGCCAGCCACGCTGAGGGGAAAGGGAGAGGTTTCCAAGCTGAGCCATGCTGGCTCAGGGATTCTGGGAGTTGAAGTCCACGAGTCATAAAAGAGTCAAGGTTGCCTACCCCTGGTGTAAGGCATCCTGTTTTGAGCAGGGGGTTGGACTAGAAGACCTCCGAGGTCCCTCCCAGCCTTAGGATTCTGTGTTCTGTGTAAGAGGCAGAACTACAAATTATTCTTATTTTCCCAACATTGGACCTTATGACCCAACATTGTTTGTTTGTAAGGCAGATAATCCCTCAGCTGTCTCTTTCCGTTTCCTGGCAATCAAAACATGTTGCTAATAAAGTAATCAAATCTCTACACTTTGCTCTTAATAGGTGTGTGTGTGTGAATTCCAGACTTGCACTTAGGTAGGTTGGTAGCACTGACTGATCTTGGCAAATCTCAAAAAATGGTATTGCTTAATAAGGTCGTCCTCAGCTTACACTAGTTCATTTAGTGACCATTCAAAGTTACAACGGCACTGAAAAAAGGGACTGATGACACTTTTCACAATTATGTCTGCTGCAGAATCCCCGCGGTTACGTGATCAAAATTCAGATGCTTAGCAACTGATTCCTATATACGACGGTTGCACTGTCGCGGGGTCATGTTGATCCCCTTTTGCGACCTTCCGACAAGCAAAGTCGATGGGGGAAGCCAGATTCACTTAACAACCGTGTTACCAATTTAACAACTGCAGTGATTCACTTAACAATGGGGCAAGGAAGGTCGTAAAATGGGGCAAAACTCCCTTAACAAATGTCTCGCTTAACAACAGAAATTTTGGGCTCAGTTGTGGTCGTAAGTCAAGGACTACCTGTGCTTGGATAGGAGACAACAGGCTATATTGTGATTTTTTTTTTTAAATACCCTATATCAGGGGTCTTCAAACTTGGCCCTTTTATGACTTGTGGACTTCAACTCCCAGAATTCCTCAGCCAGGCACACTGGCTGAGGAATTCTGGGAATTGAAATCCACAAGTCATGAAGGGGCCATAGTTCCCCCATGCTGGCTGAGGAATTCTGGGAGTTGAAGTCCACAAGTCATAAAAGGGCCAAGTTTGAAGACCCCTGCCCTATACTGTTGCTAAAAAAACTATATGGATATGTCTGGGATGCAAAGCTGACTCAAAAGAGACTTTCTGGTGGTGGAGACTTTTGGAGACCCTTTATCTGGTCCTCATGGTTATTTTCTCAATTTTTTCCCCCTCAATGTTGCAAGATTGTTCTCCTCAAAAACCTTTTTGTAACTTGTTTTTGTTGTTGAAGTTGGGAAGAAGTCCAATTTCCTGCTAACATGGCCAATGGTTGCAAAACATTTTATATTTAGCTAATATATCAAACTGAGAGTGGTTGCCTTAACCAAGAACGGGATCTGCATGGTTTCTGCCCTTCTGGAGTCAATGGGAAAAGCTGATTTCTCCCACGCTATTTCAGACATGCGTGCCTAGCCATAGTTTGGAGAAAGCTTTATTTCAAATAATACATCCCTCGTCTTCCTTGTTTTAAAAATGAGCAGAGTTGCTTGGAAACAAACACAGTGACCTTTCAAATCGGTTTGTCAAGCTTCCAACGAGGAGAGAGAGGTTGGGACAGCCTTAGATTACTCCGTATTGGCTGGAAGTTAAAATATACCAAGAATCAAAAGTCTACCTACAATTCCTGTCTTGCTTCATTGACAAAGAAGCGTTCCAAACTTGAAGAACAAACAAGGGGGGGGATTCATAGTTGTGGGCCAGGCTCACCCACAATGAAGAAATGATGGATAAAATGACTTAATGCTGTTATTGGCAGAGGTAGCAATGGATGGAAACTAATCAAGGAGAGAAACAACCTGGAACTAAGGAGAAACGTCCAAACAGTGAAGACAATTAACCAGTGGAACAGCTTGTCGCCAGAAGTTGCTTCATCACTAGAGGTCTTTAAGGAGAGACTGGACAGCCACATGTCTGAAATGGTATAAGGTCTCCTGCTTGAGCAGGGGGTTGGACTAGAAGACCTCTAAAGTCCCTTCCAGCTCTATTCTGATTTACTAAAATACATGCCAGTGTGTCTGAAGTTTAAAACTCCTTTGAAGCACCTGTAGGCCTGCAGGTAGGGCTCAAAGGCTGTGCAGAAGATGCCAGAGCAGGTAGACCTAAGGAAGAGAAAGGAGTTGTCTAGGTTCAGGAGAAGATGTTGTCGGTGGCCACCAGACAAGGCATGGAGCAGAAGAGGCCACGGCTGGGAGAGCCAGAAGCCTCCAGGAAGGTCTCCAAGATAGCTGAAGTCAGAGAAGGAAAGTCAGCAGAAAAAAAACACAAAACACAGAAAGTGGCATAATGAATGAGTCCAGGTGGTTTAGGGCTTGGAAAGCTGGCCATAAACTCATTAAGAGAAGACACTCCCTAGCATTTTAAAGCCAGTGGCTACGTCAGGTGGAAATGAGGGAGCAATTTGCAGCGGAGATGTTTTGTTTTAAAAGCAAAGTAGTAAAAATGTAAGTTGTTTAACTAAGTTGCTAAAGTATATATTTGTGCTTGGTGCCTATAGTGTTTGTGTTTCTTTTGAGTCAGGGTTGATGCCTGGCAACTGCCTGCACAAGTCCCTGCAGTTTTCTCGCCAAGATTTCAGAAGTGGTTTGCCATTGGGCCAGTCAGTCTCTCTCAGCCTGAGGAAGCAGGCAATGGCAAATCATAATAGATAGATAGATAGATAGATAGATAGATAGATAGATAGATAGATAGATAGATAGATAGATAGACAGACAGATGAAATAGATGAGATATAGACAGACAGACAGACAGACAGACAGATAGATGGATAGGCAGGCAGGCAGATAGATGAGATGAGATTAGGCAGACAGAGAGACAGACAGACAGATAATGGATATAGAGATAGATATAAATAATGGATGGATGGATGGATGGATGGATAGATAGATAGACAGATAGATAGATGAGATATAGATAGTCAGCCAGGCAGCTAGACAGCTAGATAGATAATGAGTAGATAGATAGATAGATAGATAGATAGATAGATAGATAGATAGATAGATGAAATAGATGAGATATAGATAGCCAGCCAGACAGCTAGATAAATAATGGGGATAGTTAGTTAGTTAGTTAGTTAGATAGATAGATAGATAGATAGATAGATAGATAGATAGATAGATAGATAGATAGATAGATGAGATATAGTTAGTCAGCCAGACAGCTAGACAGATAATGGGTAGATAGATAGATAGATAAATAGATAGATAGATAGATAGATAGATAGATAGATAGATAGATGAAATAGATGAGATATAGATAGCCAGCCAGACAGCTAGATAAATAATGGGGATAGTTAGTTAGTTAGTTAGTTAGATAGATAGATAGATAGATAGATAGATAGATAGATAGATAGATAGATAGATAGATAGATGAGATATAGTTAGTCAGCCAGACAGCTAGACAGATAATGGGTAGATAGATAGATAGATAGATAGATAGATAGATAGATAGATAGATAGATAGATAGATAGATAGATAGCCAGCCAGACAGCTAGATAAATAATGGGGATAGTTAGTTAGTTAGTTAGTTAGTTAGTTAGTTAGATAGATAGATAGATAGATAGATAGATAGATAGATAGATAGATAGATAGATAGATGAGATATAGTTAGTCAGCCAGACAGCTAGACAGATAATGGGTAGATAGATAGATAGATAGATAGATAGATAGATAGATAGATAGATAGATGAAATAAATGAGATATAGATATCCAACGAGACAGCTAGATAAATAATGGGGACAGATAGATAGATAGATAGATAGATAGATAGATAGATAGATAGATAGATAGATAGATAGATAGATAGATAGATAGATAATGGATAGATAGATGATAGATAAACATTTATACACATAAAATTTGGTAAATACACATTAAACTGTGTTTGTATCATATAGTAATAAACAGCACTACCTGTAACTTCGTTAGGTTTTCCTCTTTCTCCCCGTGGCTTCATTTTTTTTTTTTTTTTTTGCAGCATCTTTCTCCCTGTGGCTTCATTTTTATCCCTTCCCATTCAAGAAAATTTAGATTTTCATCTTGGCTGAAAGATGGTAAACATGTTTTTTTTAAAAAAAATAAAAAGTGGCCTATCTAAGAAAGAAGGAGAAAAAGATTTAATATACAAGGTTAGCCAGTCTGCAGTTTAAAACCAATGATGATATCCTGTGTTATGGAAAAAGACTTCTCTTCATGCAGTGGGTCTTGCTCCGGACAGGAAGGGAAGGATTTGTTGATACCTTTTTTTCCAGCAAAGCAAGACTTTTGAATAAATTTAGAGTTTATTCAATAACCTATTGAATAATTGTTATTGTATAATTGTTAGAGTATAAAACTCTAGATTGTCCACAAGAGTCAATTTTCTAAGGAACAAGAATATAGGTAGCTCAACCTTAAACGGTGGAGTCCTTGGCTATCTCTGAGCTTGATAATGTTTCCTTGCAGACATTTCATTACCAAACTAGGCAACATCATCTGTGCTATAAGAGAGTGGGGTTTGCTCTCTGGCTTTCCCTGCCAGTTTTGGCAGGGAGTGTATTTTTTTTAATCTCGGTAATTCCTTGATTGGGGCATTGTTTTCTGCATGATACGCTCAGTGCCGTAGATCAATATTGTCGTGAAGAAACTACCAAGGAGAAAATCTGGAAACCAGCATTTATTTCTGGTTTCCAGCAAAAAAACCCCCAAATTGCAAACAATGTGGTCACTTAATGATTGCAGAATTTACTTAACGTCCATCGTATATATATAAAAAAATCTTAAAATCAGGTGTGGAAGGTGATGACCTACTTAACAACCAGCACGTCTTGCAATTGTAATTCCAGGCTCAATTCTAGTCATAAGTTGAGAACTTTGTTGGGAGCAGAAAGTCAAACCATGGAGCAATTCTGCTGAGCACCGGAAGTGACATATTGTCATCGCTTACGGCATCGAAACATTGAGTTTTATACAAGCATCTTTTTTACTGGTGCATAATGCAACATTTGCTTGTTCCTTCAGGTTCCTCCGCTTCGTTGCCTTTCTTGTTAATCTTTAACATTTATAAAAAATTATACCGCTGACTTACTTTACAGAGATAGTCCTTCTGGGTTTTTGAAAAGGTGGTTGTTTTTTTTTTATTTTTGCCAAGAAAACCACATTTAACAGGGAAGTCTGGTCTGATGCAGAACTTCTAGCAAAGGCGAGGTCTTAAGAGAGAATTAATTATGCACAGATGAGCTATGTTAATTGTCCCCTCTGTAAATAGATTGGGCTGGTAGGCCAACTCTAGCTCAACCTACATCTGTTATGTAGATATTACTAAGATATAAGAACTATTCTCCTTTTGAAATGTGGATAATTTACTCACCAATATTCAAAGTTAAAAAGCTGGATAGTGTAGTTGAAGTAGACCTGGATAGTGATTTCACGCGTGATGTTTAGAACGTCTAAAGTACATGTTTGCAGTTCTCTCTGTGATGAATTTGATTGGCTTCATAATTAAATTCAGACAGGTTCTTTATGAGCTTAATCTCTTCCCTCTTATCAGATGCTTCCAGGATTTTCCATTTGTTTGGAAAATTGCAACTGCACCCTGTGCTCTTTTCTACTTAAAATTCCAATATCTCAGCATCCTTAGCAATGCAAAGCTGTTTCCTAGAGATAGGAAGCATGAATCTTGAAAACCTACTATAGGTGCCCATCAGCGAATAGAATAGAAGAGAAGCTGGAAGGGACCTTGGAGGTCTTCTAGTCCAGCCTCCTGCTCAAGCAGGAGAACCTATACTGTCACAGATAGGTGAATGTCCAGTCTCTTCTTAAAAATACCCAGTGATGGAGCGCCCACGATTTCTGGGGGTAAGCTGTTCCACTGGTTGATTGTCCTCACTGTCAGGAAGTTTCTCCTTAATTCCAGGTTGATTCTCTCTTTGATCAGTTTCCAACCATTGTTTCTCATCCTTCCCTCTGGTGTTCTGGTGAATAAACTGGCCCTCTGCCTTGTGGCAATCCCTCGGATACTGGAATACTGCTATCATGTCTCCTCTATTTCTTCTTTTCTTTAGACTAGCCAGACCCATGTCCCGCAGCCGTTCTTCGTATGTTTTAGTCTCCAGGCCTTGGATCATCTTTGTTGCTCTTCTCTGAATTTTTCCAAACTTTCAACATCTTTTTTACGAGATGGTGACCAAAACTGGCTGCAGTATTCCAGGTGTGGTCTTACTAGGGTTTTATAAAGTGGTTATTTAGGCTTGGGATTTGCTATTCTCGGGAATTTAATTCTTTAATTTAATAATCAAAAAGGCTAAGAGGGCAGCCATGATTGTACCATGCAAGCCCCTCCCCTTTTTAATGCCATATTCTCCTCCAGAACCCGCAAAGAATGGAAAATGTGTGACTCAGCATACATACCTAAGATTTTTCCAGGTTCTCCTGTTGCCTTTGGGCTAATTCATGCTATAGAAAACCACCTCTATTCAACTCTGATTTTATTGCCAACTCTAGTTAACTTTCATTTAGACCAATTAGCCTTGCATATATTTTTTTTTTACCAGCGCCCCAATCTGCATGCCGTATTTTTGAGTGGGCGGTGGTGGGGATTAAATCTCATGTTTAAATTATTTGTTCCTAGGGGGTACTTCTAGAAAAACCAATGGCTTTTATTATAATGCCACTTTACAAGGCCTTGATAGGGCCACACCTGGAATACGGCATCCAGTTTTGGTCACCAGGATGTAAAAAAGATATTGAGACTCTAGAAAGAGTACAGAGAAGAGCAACAAAGACGATCAGGGGACTGGAGGCTAAAGCATATAAGGAACGGTTGCTGGAATTGGGTATGTCTAGTTTAATGAAGAGAAGGACGAGGGGGGACATGATAGCAGTGTTCCAGTATCTCAGGGGCTGCCCCAAAGAAGAGGGAGTCAAGCTATTCTCCAAAGCACCTGAAAGCAGAACAAGAAGCAACAGTTGGAAACTAATCAAGGAGAGAAGCAACCTAGAACTAAGGAGAAACTTCCTGACAGTTAGAACAATTAACCAATGGAACCACCTGCCTCCAGAAGCGGTGAATGCTCCAACACTGGAAGTTTTTAAGAAGAGACTGGACAGCCACTTGTCTGAAATGGTATAGGGTTTCCTGCCTGAGCAGGGGGTTGGACTAGAAGACCTCCAAGGTCCCTTCTAACTCTGTTATTCTATTTTATTCTGTTCCGTTCTGTTCCATTCCATTCTATAATTTCTATTCTATTCTATTCTATTCTATTCTATTCTATTCTATTCTATTCTATTCTATTCTATTCTATTCTATTCTATTCTATTCTAATTTATTCCATTCTATTTTGTTCTGTTCTGTTCCCACAACTTCTGAAGGCAATCTGTTCCTTCTGAAGGTTAACTGTTCTTCCTGTTAGGAAGTTTCTCCTTAATTCCAGGTTAGTTGTTAGGCTTTTTTTCCCACTTTGCTGTTGATTACACCAAAGCTGGAACTTTATATTATTGGTTCCCACAACCTTAGAATAATAAAGTTGGAAGGGATCTTGAAGATCTTCTAGCCGATCCACCTGAAATCCATCTTCAGGACAGGAATCCTCATAGCATCGCTGACAAATGGCTGTCTAACTTTTTTTGAAATCTTTGGTGGAGCTTCCAGGACGCCAGGAGGCAGACTATTCCACTATTTAATAGGTAATTACAGTCAGGAAATTTCTCTTTATTTTCAGCGTGGGTCTTCCTCTGTTAAGCTACTGTAGGTTGGTTCTTCTCTTACTTTGGGTGCTTTGGATAATAAATCCAGACCTTCTTTCCTCTGTAATGACAGCTATTATATGGAAACTAATCCAGGAGAGAAGCAACCTAGAACTAAGGAGAAACTTCCTGACAGTCAGAACAATTAACCAGTGGAACAACCTGCCTCCAGAACCGGTGAATGCTCCAACACTGGAAGTTTTTAAGAAGAGACTGCACAACCATCTGTCTGAAATGGTGTAGGGCAGTGGTTCTCAACCTTTCTAATGCCGCGACCCCACAATACAGTTCCCCATGTTGTGGTGACCCCCAACCACTTATACATCACCGGGTGCCAAGGGCGTGGCCAAAGAAAAGGGGAAAAAAATGGCAGACAGCCTTGTTTGGCGACCCCCGTGAAATGGTCGTTCGATCCCAAATGGGGTCCCAACCCACAGGTTGAGAACCACTGGTGTAGGGTTTCCTGCCTGAACAGGGGGTTGGACTAGAAGACCTCCCAGGTCCCTTCCAACTTTTATTATTGTTATTATTATTAAATCTGCTCTTAGTCTTCTCTACTTTAAGCTAAACATACCCAGTTCTTTAAACTTGTTTTTCATTGGATTCCTGAACTGAAGTCCCCGAATTGATCTTTTGATCAGGATTACCATCCATGGAACTTTTTGCCTTCGGAGGTTTATTGAAGGCAACCTCTTGGAATCTAGAATGTTCCTCTATCTACCTGGAGTTCTCCCTCTCTGCATTGTGGCAAATGCAAGGATCTTCCAAAGTTCTTACCATTTCCTGAACTATTCCTTTTCTCTTAGTAAAAATCAAATCCGGTATAGCGGATCCCTTACTTTTCTTTTCCACCCTCTGAATGGTGAAGTTGTCGGCAAGGAACGTCAAGAACCTGATGGCTCTCCCTTCCTCACGGACTTTGATTCCCAGTTCACGTTGAGATCATTGAAATCCTTCACGGCCCCAACGCTATGTTTCTGGAGACCTCAACTATCTGATTTGTGAAGATTTAATCCACCTCTTCTGTTTGGGTTCGTGACTTGTACTACGTACTGATTTGGTGCCTGGTTCAAGAACCAGTTTCTTTCCCTTAAACTAGACCAGTGGTTCTCAACCTGTGGGTTGGGACCCTATTTGGGGTCGAACGACCATTTCACGGGGGTTGCCAAACAACGCAGTCCGCCATTTTTCCCCCCCTTTTCCTTAGCTGTGCTACTCCCTTTTGTTCTATTGGCTTTTGAAAGCCAATAGAATAGACTCTCTTGAATAGAGTCTAATTCTATTGGCTTTCCAAAGCCCATAGGAATTGTCCAGGCTGTCTCTGCCCTGCTGAGCCCGCCAAAAGTCCCATTCTGCAAACGGTGCTGCACCAGTTGAGTAGTCCTCGACTTACGACCGGTTGAGTAGTCCTCGACTTACGACCGGTTGGCGGTCGCAGCATTAAAAAGGTTGAGAACCACTGAACTAGACATACCCAATTCCTGCAACCGTTCCTCAGATGTTTTAGCCTCCAGCCCCTGATGCATCTTTGTTGCTCTGCTTTGTTGCTCTTCTTTGCATGCTTTCCAAATTCACAGTATTTGGAATCTATTAAGCTATCGAGAATTATGGGTTGGGTAATGGGAAGAGCTTTGGAGGGTGGGGGCAGAGACCCCCCCCCAAAGCGGAACCCAAGTCCAGAAAACTGCGCCCCCCTCCCCTTAGGAAAAGATCTCTCCCCCCCCTCCCGCGCGCCCGCATCTTACCCTCTTCCTAGATCTCTCATAGGGCCGCCCCGCCTTTCCCTTCCGACGCCTGTGATTGGTCGGGGCGGGCGGGCGAGCGGGGGGGGGAGAGAGGAAAGCCCCTCCCCTGAGCTGCTTCAATGGGAAACTCGCTTACCGGAGTTTCAGTTTGTCTGCGGGCGAAGCGGCCGGACCCGTCCAGGAAGGCATCCCGGACCCCGACGGGGCTGGAGAGCGGCCGAGAGAGACCCCCCCCCTCCCCTCCAGCAATCCGGGACCCGGACAGGCAGCGAGCAGAAGGCGCGGAGAGGATTGCAAAGGGGCGTCGAGAGAGAGGGAAACCGGAGTGGCTTCGGATTAAACCGGAGACTGGAAGAGGATTTATTTCCAAAGCAGACGTGGGGTTTGGCAGCCGGCAGCCCCCGCTGGCGTATCTCCTGGCTCCGCCGGCCACCAGCTGGGGGGCTCCGGATCTGCCCTGTCCCGCTTGGAGCCCCCTTGGGTGGGGATCAGGAGGAGGAGAAGGAGAGGAGGAGGAGGAAGGCAGCCGCCGGCCAAACATGAGCCAGCATGTCTGACAAAATGTCCAGCTTCCTCTACATCGGCGATGTGGTCTCGCTTTACGCCGAGGGCTCGGTCAACGGCTTCATCAGCACCCTGGGGTAAGGCGCGGGGGTGTGTGGCGGGGGGGACCCCGCGGGCCGATCCTCCGCTCGCTTTCGGTTCTTGGAGCCCGGCTTGCGAAGAGGAAGAGCGGGCCGGGCGAGGGAGGGAAAAAAAAACAGAAAAAAACCCCGTACAGGAAGCAGAGCCGGGCAGGGGTTGGGGGTGCAATCAGACAGCCGCTGCAGGTCGCTAAGCGAGGCGGAGGCAGGAAGCAACAGAACGGGGCAAGCCCCCTTCCTCTTCCTCCCCCCCCCTTCCAGCTACTTCACCGAACAATTAACCAGTGGGACGACCTGCCTCCAGAAGTTGTGGGTGCTCCCAACCCTGGAGATTTTTAAGAGGAGATTAGACACCCGTTGGTCCGGAAGGGTGTAGGGTTGAGCAGGGGGTTGGACTAGAGGACCTCCAAGGTCCCTTTCCTCGTCTGTTAGTCTCATTCCGTAAGGGTCTCCTGGTTGAGCAGGGGGTTGGACTAGAGGACCTCCGAGGCCCCTTTCCTTGTCTGTTAGTCTAGGATTCTGTGAGGGTCTCCTGGTTGAGCAGGGGGTTGGACTAGAGGACCTCCCAGGACCCTTTCCTCGTCTGTTAGTCTAGGATTCTGTGAGGGTCTCCTGGTTGAGCAGGGGGTTGGACTAGAGGACCTCCCAGGCCCCTTTCCTCGTCTGTTAGTCTAGGATTCTGTGAGGGTCTCCTGGTTGAACAGGGGGTTGGACTAGAGGACCTCCCAGGCCCCTTTCCTCGTCTGTTAGTCTAGGATTCTGTGAGGGTCTCCTGGTTGAGCAGGGGGTTGGACTAGAGGACCTTCCAGGTCCCTTTCCTCGTCTGTTCTTCTGCTAGAGACCCTCTGCACCTTTTGCAGAGTTTGACTTTGCTCCAGCCTGCCAGCTTCTCCTCCACGTGCCCGGGGAAAGTTGGGGTGTGCCAGATCAGAACCCCATTTGGGCTCAGCCAGCCTGCCGTTCTCGCTTCCTCCTCTGAGTCCCGAGAAGCCCAAGGGGTTCCGGGTGCTCGGGGTGTCGAGCCCCAGAGGTTCCCGTGTGTGAATTGGCCGTGGAAGATCCCTGCCGCCTTGTGCCACGCGTGTTGACTTTCTGCGGGAGGTGGCCTCACTAGGCAGGAAGTTTATAGCAGGCGGCTCGGGTCTGGTTCCACCTGTCCCAGGTGGGAGGCAGGTGGCTGAGCCGCATCTCCATAGGGATCCTTGACTGTGGTCCTCCTCGGTGGATGCGTTTGCCTGGGAGGAAGGGGGGGGGCTTAGACGGAAGAAGAGGGCAGGAGAAGAAGCAACGGGTGGAAGGAAGATCATTAAAGAGAGATCCCAAGCTGGAACTAAGGAGAAATTTCCTGGATGTGAGAACAAGGAATCAGTAGAAATGCAAGCCCTCCCACTTCCAGCTACTTCACTGAACAGCGGAACGGCTTGCCTCCAGAAGTTGTGGGTGCTCCACCATTGGAGGTTTTTAAGAGATTGGACAGCCATTTGTCTGGAAAGGTCTAGCCTAGTGTCTCCTGCTTCAGCAGGGGGTTGGACTAGAAGACCTCCAAGGTCCCGTCCATCTCTGTTGTTCTATTAAGTCAGAGAAGGTGCACCTTTCACAGGCAACAGCTGATCCAGTTATCAATCTTATTGCCATCCATGCAAAATGGACTAGAAGACCTCCAGGATCCCTTCCACCCTATGTCTCTATGGTCTTGGGCAAGGGGTTGGACTAGAAGACCTCCAGGGTCCCTTCCATCCTACATCTCTATGATCTTGGGCAAGGGACTGGACTAGAAGACCTCCAAGGTCCCTTCCACCCTACATCTCTATGATCTTGGGCAAGGGGTTGGACTAGAAAACCTCCAGGATCCCTTCCACCCTACATCTTTATGATCTTGGGCAAGGGGTTGGACTAGAAGACCTCCAAGGTCCTTCCACCCTACGTTTCTATGATCTTGGGCAAGGGGTTGGACTAGAAGACCTCCAAGGTCCCTTCCACCCTACATCTCTATGATCTTGGGCAGGGGGTTGGACTAGAAGACCTCCAGGATCCCTTCCACCCTACAACTCTATGATCTTGGGCAAGGGGTTGGACTAGAAGACCTCCAAGGTCCCTTCCACCCTACATCTCTATGATCTTGGGCAAGGGGTTGGACTAGAATACCTCCAAGGTCCCTTCCACCCTATGTCTCTATGATCTTGGGCAAGGGGTTGGACTAGAAGACCTCCAATGTTCCTTCCACCCTACATCTCTATGATCTTGGGCAAGGGGTCGGACTAGAAGACCTTCAAGGTCCCTTCCACCCTACATCTCTATGATCTTGAGCAAGGGGTCAGACTAGAAGACCTCCAAGGTCCCTTTTACCCTATGTCTCTATGATCTTGGGCAAGGGGTTGGACTAGAAGACCTCCAGAGTCCCTTCCACCCTACATCTCTATGATTTTGGGCAAGGGGTTGGACTAGAAGACCTCCAAGATCCCTTCCAATTCTGTTACAGACAGCCCTCGACTTTCAGCTGCAACTGAGCCCAGAATTTCTGTTGCTAAGTGAGACATCTGTTAAGTGAGTTTTGCCCCATTCTACAACTTCTCTTACCACACTGTTTAAGGGAGTCACTAGCCGTTGTTAAATAAGCAACACCGTTCTTAAGCGAATCCGGCTTCTCCGTTGACTTTGCTTATCAGATGGTCGCAAAAGGGGATCAGATAACTCCCCCCCCCCGGGACACTGCAATGGTTATAAATATGAAGCCGTTGTCAAGCCCCTGAATTACGTGATCACGGGGATGCTACAATGATCATAAGTGTGGAAAACGGTCGTAAGTGCCGTTGTAACTTTGGACGGTCACTAAATGAACTCTTGTAAGTCGAGGACTATCTGTATCCTGTGATTCTGACTTGGCCCCAGATTCAATCCTGACCTGACAGGATGCTGAGCTGGGACCTGGGTGGGAAAGGAAGGCCCTGATTGGCTTAAGAGGGACAGTTGGTGTCACCTTTCAATTTGCACTTTTGACATTCCTAGGAGACATGGGCTGCCTAATCTATTCAAATTTAGAAATAATATGCGATGTGTGGGGGAGTTTCCCTTGTTATTGATGGCTGAGATTTCTTAAAAGTAAGTCCAAGGGAGAAAAAGTTGTGCCGTATACAGGAATAGTCCCCAACTTACAACGGTTCATTTAGCGACCGTCCGAAGTTAAAACAGCACTGAAAAAAGTGACTTAGGACCATTTTTATACTTATGGCCGTTGCAGCATCCTCACGATCACGTGATCATAATTCAAACGCTGGGTAACCTGACTCGTATTTATGACGGTCGCAGTGTCCCCGGGGGTCATGCGATTCCCTTTTGCGACCGTCTGACAAGCAGTCAATGGGGAAGCAGGATTCACTTAATAACCGGGTTAAGAAAGATGGCAAGAAAAGTCATAAAATGGGGCAAAACTCGCTTAAATGTCTCACTGAACAACGGAAATGGTGGACTCAATTATAGTCGTAAGTCAAGGATGGCCTGTACAGCATGGTGGGGTTTTTTCTGTCTAAATAACTCATTCACTCAGGTCTGATAATTCATAATATTGTACCTTGCCTATGGGAACAAATTCAGGTTTTTCATTCCCATGAAGCTGGTTCCCTTAAAACAGTGGTTCTCAACCTGTGGGTCGGGACCCCATTTGGGGTCGAACGACCATTTCACAGGGGTCGCCAAACAACGCAGTCCGCCATTTTTTCCCCCTTTCCTTAGCTGTGCTACTCCCTTTTATTCTATTGGCTTTCGAAAGCCAATAGAATAGACTCTCTTGAATAGAGTCTAATTCTATTGGCTTTCAAAAGCCAATAGGAATTGTCCAGGCTGTCTCTGCCCTGCTGAGCCCGCCAAAGTCCCATTCTGCAAACGGTGCTGCACCAGTTGAGTAGTCCTCGACTTACGACCGGTTGAGTAGTCCTCGACTTACGACTGGTTGAGGGTCGCGGCATTAAAAAGGTTGAGAACCACTGCCTTAAAAGGATAGACTCTTCTCTTCTGAAATTGGTCCTTTTTCTTCTCAGCCAGCTTTTAAACCAGGCTTGTGGGGATCTACAGGACTATTAAAAGATTGGACCCAACGGAGTTGGAAAGGACCTTGGAGGTCTTCTAGTCCATCCCCCTGCTCAAGCAGGAAGCCCTACACCATTTCAGACAAGTGGCTGTCCAATCTCTTCTTAAAAACCTCCCGTGTTGGGGCACCAACAACATTGGTTTGAGGATTCCTTCGCTTCTCTCTCTCTCTCTCTCTCTCTCTCTCTCTCTCTCTGTGTGTGTGTGTGTGGTGTGTGTGTGTGTTGAAGTAAAATAAACTCCCCAAATCTCTTCCAGCTGCTCTCCAAAATGCAACACAGGTGTCAGCTCAGGAGAGTAGTTTGCAAGGTCCCTTGCCAGGCTTTGCGAAGGGCTTGTGTTTGTGTTTGTGTGGCACAATAGCCTGCTAAAGATCCCGTTCTGACACACTCAGCCTGTCACTGCTTTATGATGCGATTTTACCAGTTATCAGAGTGAGAATATGGTTCAGGGGAAAACCAATTTGGGGGTGAGTCATTCCAGGGTAAGAATTGCTGCAAAGCTTTAGAGGTGTGTGTTATGTCGGTCGCTACACTAGCTTGCACTTGGTGATCAGCTCGGGTTTTCCGGATTCTGTTTGAGCAAGAGTGAGCTGGCCAACTTTATCCCGCATGGAATATAACCTCTCTCGTTTGCTTCCAGCCGGGAAGAAGGTAGCTAATTAAACTACAGTTGCTTTGCTGATTGAGTGCAGCTAGTCCTAGGCCAGGGGTAGGCAACCTTGGCTCTTTTATGACTCGTGGACTTCAACTCCCAGAATTCCTGAGCCAGCATGGCTCAGCTTGGAAACCTCTCCCTTTCCCCTCAGCATGGCTGGCTCAGGAATTCTGGGAGTTGAAGTCCACAAGTCATAAAAGAGCTAAGGTTGCCTATCCCTGGCCTAGGCCTAGGCGTAGGCCGCTTTTTGACTCGTG